CCCCAACACCACCCTGCTGACACCCCAGCAGCCTGCCAGGGTATGCGCAAGGGGGTGTCAGCCAGGGCTGGCTGTGGTGATATTTTCTCCTTAGACTTTGAAGGGCCAAACTAAATACTTGCTTACTTTCATGATGCCACCTGAGAGGGGCCAGCTCTTAGAAATGGGCTGGGAAGGTTTTTAAAAGGTTGGGATTTTTCTTTTTTTTTTCTTTTTTTTTTTTCTTTTTTTAAAGAGGTGATGCACTAAAAGCACCTTCTGGGAAGTGGCTCCTCTGTGGGATAGATGAGCCTGCAAAGACCCGGCTGCTCTAGAAAACAGTGGTGAGCTTTAATGCAACAGCACAAAGTGACTGAGAGAGGGAGAGCAGGGATAGGCAAGAATAGGTAAGGGCATTCTTCTATTCATCCCTCTCTTTTACTGCAGAAATCCTAAAACGTATCAAGCCTACTCCTCTTACCGGAGAGGATCTTAGCTCCCAGTAAGCAGCCTGAGTCATCTGCTTTGAATCTTTACCAGACAAACTAGGAAAGAAAAGGGGTAGTGCTTCCTGGGGGCTGCTGGGGAGCTTTTTCTCTGTTGTGGCATGAATGTGGACCAAAGGTATCCTAAAATCCTCCTCCTCTTTTGCTTGGTCAGACTTTATTTTCTTGGGATTCTGATATATATTTTTAAATCCATTATTCATTTGCCTTTGTTATCTTCCTGGGTAACCTAGATGTATTATTACTAATGGGTTTTTTTTTTTGGGGGGGGAGGGGGGAAGTAGGATTCAGAAAAAAACATATGCCTTAATTCTCCTTTCCATTTATAAAAAGAAAGCTGTTTCTCCTTCAAAGGTTGTGGCAGAGCTTCGGCTGCTTTCTTGCTGCTTACAAGCCCGAAAAGATGACACAATGAGAGCAAGAACAGGATTCTGCATCTTTGTGCATATCCTTTAAAGCATGGGCTTTACAAGGTGATGCTGCACTGTTGATTCCTCTGTATTTAGGAGGAATCATCTGCTTTTCTGGCGACTGTTACTGTTCCAGGTCTTGCTAGTGCTGGTCAGAAATCCTGGTTCACGAGGGCAAAGCATTTATGGCTGCTGACTCTTTGTGTTGATCTACTTGGTTTGAAGTAACAGTTGCCCTGGGATATGGGCTGCCTTGGAATAGGGGTCTAATCCCAGTAAGTAATACCTAAAATGCTGAGGAAACCTTGAAACAAAATGCAGCTTGTAACTAAAATGTAAAACTTGTGACAGCTGACAAAGAAAATATTGAAATGAGAATTAGCTGCAGTGATTGGAGGCTTTATGTTATGCTTTGCTCAGAAAATCCAGTGCACCTGATGTGACCCCCTTTGATAATTAAGTCATGGCTGAGCTGAACGTGGGAAGGAGTGTGGCATGCGATCATGCCAGCGTTAATTGAGAGCTCTGCTCTGGTGCAGCTGCCAAAAGGGGATGGTCCTCAACTGCTTTCACCCCACTCTGCCACAAACGTTCAGGCAGAGAATTGGATGTAGGCAAAAAACTGCCCAGGGAGAGGAACGGATCACTCCTAAAGCTGGATCAGTCACCAGGCTGGGCAGAGAGTGCGGCTGTTTGTGCTGATGTGAAGGGCTGAGAGGCCGGAGCAGTGTAGGGTTGCTGCTGTCTCGCTTCCACAGCCCATCGTGTGGTGCTCTCTGCACCCTGGGCTGATTCAGGCCACTAATCCAGTAAAGAACCATCTGCTTCTGTGAGTCAGGGGTTTTTTTTGCTGTGTTAGGGAGCTGAACAAGCCTGGCATAGGGGCTGATGAGCAACAGTATCAGGAGGAGGGGGGACATGCTGCTGTCCCACCTGCCCTGTCCACTCCTGGTGTCATCGAGCTGCAGCTTTGCCCTCGGATGCAGTCCCTGCAGCATTGCCTTCTCATTCGGAAAATGCTCTTCTGCTTCCTGCTCCGAGATGTACATCAGAGTGGGAGCTATTTCTCTGCAGCCTGTTAGTGGTGAGGAGGGGGGTGTGTGGTGGGGACTCTGTCTCTAGGCCAGCCGGGACCCGCAAGCCAAACCATTTGGTGAGTCACAGGGAGGCTGCTCTTGCTTGGGCTGGAACAAACTTCAAATGTGTCCAAGGCTCTTCCTGAGGCTGCCAGGCTGTAATTTGTGGCTGGCTTTGCTTCCTCTCCATGGCTTGCTGCAGTCTGAGTGGAAATGCAAAATGGTCCAAAAGCCAGGCTGCTGCAAAAAATGCTTCTATTTCTTTATTTTAATTTTTTTTTTTTTTTTAAATGAAAGCACTCATCCCACAGAGCTGGCTGTGGCAGGCTGCAAAACCAGAGCCTGCAGGGGCCTCTGGCTGGCCTCCTGAGATTGCCAAACAGAGATGCCTCACGTGCGCTGTGCTCATGCAAAGCAGAGAATTGGGCGTGAAGAGGGTGAGGCTATGGTGGAAGGAATTTATGTGCCGTAGGCATGACAAAACTGAGCATCAGGCTTTCTGGTGCCAGTTGGGCTCTGGTGCCAGCCTGGTCCAACTGGTTGGTAGGGGAGGCAGCGCTCCTGGACGCCAGCCCCTGGAAAGTGAGTCATGTGTTTTGCTGCAGGAGAGTCCCTTGCTTGGCTGCAGTTTTCCAGCCTGAGGGAGGATGGGCTCTTCCTACTCACTTTCTCTATGCAGATCATGTGCCTCCCAGAAAATGGGCCTAAAAATCAAGTTTAGGCCAGAAAGGCCCCCTTCTCTCCCAGCCACAGCAAAGTGACTCAGCTGTATGTGACTACTGAGAAGCCATGGTCCTTCCTGAGAAGACTCATCTGACACCTTATCTGGGAGGTTTATCTTCAGGAAAAAACCCAAATCTGAGCAGAAGCTCAGCGAAAGTGGAAGGTGGTAGGCAGACAGCAGGCTGCTGCAGCTCACACCCTCTGTGCGAGGTCTCTCATCATGCAGTTGGTCCTCATGTCTGTGAGCTGGGCCTGGTCTCAACAGGCTGAGCTGCCCTTTGGAGTTTCCCACTCTTCCAAACAGTCCCATCATCGATGGCAGATGGCCAGTGCTTGAGCTCTTGATGCCATTTTATTTCTTTTAATCCCATTTTTAAGTGAGGCAGCATGGCTAAACCAGGAAAGCTATGTCATGGTGACAACTTGTCAGGAAGCTGATCTATACTGGGGGGGGGAAATCCCCAGATCAATTGGAATTGGCAGAGCTCCAGGGAAGCCTGGGCTAGCATGGGTGGTCTTGGTGCCCAAAATGAGATTGGGGTTGGCACCTGTTAGCTCAATGCTATTCCTTCCTTACCCCTGTCCTTCAGTTCCCAGAAGAAAAACACCCTGACTGCTGAAATAGCTCTCCTGTTCCAGACAGTCTTATTTAACCCCCCTTTTAAATATTCTTCACAAAGCTTTTTTTTTTTTTTTTTCCTGTGTTCCTAAGCTAGTAGCTGACTGCCGGTTAGAAAGTCAAGGTGCCTTGTCAACACTTTGTGTGCACTCCTGAGATAAGAGAGGCACGCTGAGCCCTGCCTAGGCAAGGTGGCTTTAGCACCAGAGTAAAGGTTGCTTGTTTAGTCTGGCCAAAATTGCTGTTGGGGGTGGCTTTCTGCCTGGTTGATTCAGTCTGGGTGCGTCTGGCTCCTTTAGGAATTACCTAAGAGCCCTGGCTCCTGATAGAGGGGGATAGCAGAGGTTTGAGAGGCTCCGAATGAAGCTGTGCTGACTGGCAGGGGGCAAAGGCCCTATGTAAGCATAGAGCTCACCCGCTGTCTTGCAAAGAGCGAGGTAACAAGCCTCCCACAGTGGCTTCTTAGCTTGGCTTTTAATTTTAAGATGATCTTCACACAAGAGGAGAAATGTGTGTTACCCTGTTTGGTATAGACTGGCAAAGTGAAATGAACAGATCCACTTCCTCCTAACTGCAAGTAAACCTTAAATGCGATCAACAAATCTGGTCCTTGAAAAATAAACACATAGGTAGGGACCTAACATGGCAATACCTGGTAGGCCCTTAGATGAGGGGCAATACCTTGAAGATCCTCACGAACTGGGCAGGATAATCTTCACAGATCGTGAGCACTTCAGATGTGATGAGTTTGAGTTACAGTGAGGCTGCAGGGGATATCCAAGCGCAGCTCCCCAAGCTGGGAGAAGCACCTAGCTTATCAGGACCCTTCTTCCAGCAACAGAAAGCCCCAAGTGTGGGTTTAAGAGAAGAGGGGGAGCTGGTCTAGCAGCTTTGTGCAGCCCTGGTGAGCCCGGCTTCTGTCTGTGGGGGACCAGCTCTGGCCCTCAGTTGAGCTGGTTTGGTTTGCTGATCCAGCTGGAAAATACTGTGTATTTTTCTGGGTTAGTTTATTGTTCCAGTTGGCTGAATCAGTGTAAGGGATATGGCAGGAGTAAGAGGCTGGGAGATACCAAGTCAATTCAGGCTTTCCTAATTGTACTTTTAATTACTGTTCCCTTGGACCACACAGACACCAAGCTGCCCAGTGACAACAGCGATGAGCCTGCCAAGCACACCAAGGAAAAACAGGCACCCGCCCCTCACCTCCTAGCCCCAGGCAACAAGATGGGAAACCTATGAGTGGGAAGCTATGCCGGGGCGCATCTCCTTGCTGGTGCGCAACTGGAAGAGATGCCACCAGCCGAAAGCGAGCCAGGGGGAGCGATGGGGGCCCTCTTCCCCGTGGTGCTCCCACCGCCTCTCGCCTGTGGAGGGCCTTGGGCCGGCCCTGCACAAACCGCCTTTTGCAGCGCCTTTCCTGCAGCCAGGCAGGGCAGATTCAAGCGGCGGGGGCTCAGAGGAGCCCAGGTGAACAACGGCTCCTCAGCAAGCAGCGACCACGCACCGCCGCCATTTCGTGCCCGCCTGAGGAGACGCGGCAGCGCCGGACGGAGCATGCGCGGGGTGGGTGAGGGGCGTGAGGAGCTCGCCCCCCCTCCCCGGCGCATGCGCAGCAGCCGGGCCGGGGGGGCGGTACGGCGGGCGAGCATGCGCAGTGGCGCCCGGCGCAGCCTTTATATAGGGGCGGGGGGGGCGGCGGCGGAGCCGCATTGCAGGCGGGCGCGGGGACGATGGCGCGGCGGCTTCTCTGCCTCCTCGGGCTCCTGGCGGCCGGTAAGCGTCCCCGCCGGCCCGGGCCTCCGCCTTCTTCTCCCTTTCCCCCTCACGTTTAGCCCCGGCGGTCTGGGGACGGTGTTCCCTCAGCACCGAGGGCCTGCCCGGGCGGGAGCGGGCTGAGGGCGGCTGTGACAGGGCGCGGGGGCGGGGGGGGAAGTGTGGAGGGAGGTCGGGCCTAAAGCTGTTTCTCTTCTCTCTTCTCCCACCAGGACCAGCCGGGCCCGGCTGCCGACAGCGCAGGGAGAGGAGACAGCGATAAGGGAGGGTGGCGGGCGGGGGAAGCCTCCTGCCCGGGCCCCGCCGCCCTGGGGGTGGCGCAGCCCGGTGTGGGGCCTAACGGTCCCGCCGGGGGAGCAGGGCCTGGGGAGGGGAGGGAGGGAGGGTGGGGGGAGGCGAGCAGGGGTTTCGGGGCTGCCTTCGGGGTGGCTGCGGTGGTGGAAAAGCTATGTTTAGGGCGGGCAGCGCCCAGGAATAGCGATCAGGTAAAGGCAGGGGGAAGTCTCTGTGAGAAACCAGGCTTTCCTGCTGCTGGAAATGACCTCCTAATGACAGTGTGGTAGCATGGGATCGGTTTGTATCCATATCTGACACTAATCGGGCAACTGTATCGGCTCTTAGAGCCAAAGAAGAGCAATTGGTAGAAACTGTTTTTCTGCCAGCAGCTCTGTTTATCTCTGACACTTCAGGGATAGATGGGCGTTAATCCTCTTTCAGACGGCAAGAGGTAGCCTTTTCTGTTGCATGCTTTTAGCAGCCTCATTTCATTAGGGTCTCCTGCTGCAGGTGGAAAATTCCACTAATGTTGCTGCGTTGTTACCTGTTGTTACTGAGGTAGGAGATGGTGGTTGTGGTGGAAATAACATATTCTTCCATTAGTGGTAGGACTAGAGTTTAGAAAAGGCAATGCTTGTGTTTTTTTACTTTGCAGAAGCTAGACAGAGCTGCGGAAGCGATTCATAGACTGACTGGAGGGCTAATATGCCTTCAGGTTGTGGTACGGAATGGCTAGAAACCCCAAAATTGAAGGTTGGATGCAGTGATGCACACAGTGTTTTGGATAAATTTCCTTTAAATAAGACAATTTTAAACCTAGAGCTTACTTGCTTACGAGTTTAACCTGCAATGTTGCACAAGTCAGCTAAAAACCAACCCTGACTAGCTGTTTAAAAGCCATGGGAATAGCCAACTGGCAGACTACAGTAAACTCTGCCTTTGAGATCTTGCATGATTGTACACTAGTACTTAAGTGGAGTCTTAATATACTGATATGTGGACAGTTTAATGGAGAATCTCAGACTTTTCAGGCTGGAAACAAGAAAGCAAATGTCAGCTTTCAGTCTGCATATTTATCTGCTTTAATAATACGATTTTTGAGTCTACTCTGCACTGAATTAACTGCCATCAATTATCATGTCTGTTGGGACTGTTTCCGAATCACTAAAATCATTGTAGTTTCTTGTGCTTCAAAAGTGAAAAGGATTTGCCTTGAAGTACCTACCAGGTTTCCCATTAGTGTATTTAGGGAAATTGTAATGAGAAACCAGTTCAGCAATGAGAGCTAGCTTGGTCTGCCTGTTAAAGCCATGCGTATGCAACTGAGCATAGCAGAAGACTTGTTAGGCCTGTTTTTCTTTAGGAAGTCACTGTTTTAACACAAATAAACAGCTGTCTATTTTCACCAGCTTTCTGTTATGAATACTAATTGACTCACCTATGAAAGCATAGTGCAGATTTTTCTGAAGACCTTACTGTGACAACCTGAAACACTATTTTTGTCTACTAAGTTAATTAGCTGTATCAAAATCTCACCACCCTTGGCGTATCCTAATGGAGTTACTTGGCTGGTTTACAGCATGGCTGGTAGGCCATGAGGGTTTTTGGTTGACCTACTTGCAGTGCTTCTGTGTATCTTCCCTTTAAGGGAGACAAGAAGGAATTGAAGCAGGATGTACAGGACTCTGGATCTCCGGACTACAGATACGCTTGTCTTTGAGATCAGGAAAGAAGGAAGGCTGGGGCACAGTTAAAACAGAAGTCAGTTTCTCTTGAGCTGATTGTTAATTTTTTTTCCTCATGGTAAAATAAAAGTTAAGCTTGGGGTGAAAAGTAAGTTTGAGGATGCAGTTATTTCACACACACCCCCTAAAATAGTAGACTTAGTCTTTCTTCCTTCCAAGATTTCAAACTAATGCATAATTCCTCTATCAAACACTGGTCAGAACATCTGGGGACAGGAAAATTGAAGGCTGGGTTAGTCTGACTTGAATTTTCTGGAGGATGTGGAAAAAGCAGATAGTTGAACTTGGACTGTGTTCTGTAGTTTGCAGGCTTGCTCAGTTTGGGAATGTGGTCTCTAACAAAAAAGCTAGGCTGGTGCAGCCCACTGCTGTAGATTAAATTAGGCAAACAGTGGAAAGCGTCCTATATCTCTAAAAAAATATGTCCCTGTTTTCTTGGAGGGATAACAGGGAGTGCTGTGAGCATGAGGTGCTTTACAACTGTCACATAACGAAGCAGTGCTTTGACAGTGCACCAGTCATGTGGCTTGTCTAAACCTGCCCTTGCACAATCTCCTCCTTGTTTGCAGAAGAGGTATAAATAGAGTTCTTGGTTGTATCTGGAGGAGCTGCACAAGCTGTTCTGCCTGGTCACGGTCGCGCTTGGCAGTATGCGCGATTGCATCCGCAGAGCTTCTGAAGTCTTATGCGGTCTTTTTACAATCTCAGTTTGTGCTATTCAGCGTACCACAAAGCAGCAGTTCTGGGAATCTGATAACGGAGATGAGGTAGAGGGTGGAACCAGAGAGTGGAAGCTTGTCAGCAAAACTGAACTGTGTCTCTGTCAGGTGACGGTGATGTCAGTTGGGACTCTCCAGGAGGTTGGACCGTGCTGTTTTGGGGAGTGTTTTCTGGTGTAACATGCAGGAAGATTTTTTACTTTGTATCTGGGGGGGAAGCAGGACCAGTTACTGCTGGCTGCCTGTGGGTTTTTGTTTCAATGTCTCATGTGGACCTGATTCTTCAAAGCAGGCTTGGGGCAACGCCTTGGAACTACAAGACAAAAAAAGGGTTTACATTTGTTTTTTCTTTAAGGGTTTACTCGCAGTCCATTTTCCATTTTTTTTTCTTTATGTAGCAGCTTTTGTATGCAGTTAATTTGCTGCTATTAAGATATCAGACTTCCTACTGCAAGTTAAAAGGGGTACTTCTGTGGTCTTTGAAGTGTGTGCATGTGTTTTGAGGCAATGCTTGTCTGTGTATTTGGTCATGGAGCAATGTTTAATTTCAGATATCAGTATTTTTCTTCCTCTTGGAGTGAGGAGTCTCATGTTTACACTGTTTACCCTGACAAGTTTTCAAACTGCGTTCTCTACTGAAAATGTCTGCATATAGAGAGATTTTTTTGGAGATGCTGAGTAAATGAATCTTGCAGTGAGATTTCAAGGCTTGTTTTTACTAAACAAAACAGTTTAAAATCCTTTGACTATGTTCACATATGGGACGCAAGCTGTTAGTATGCAGAGATTAGGGGTTAACACTTTCTTCTTTCCTGCTATCAGCTGCTTCATCACTGTACTCCTGGGTAGGTTATTCTTTCACCTTGTGCGCTACAGTTTGACTTTTCCAGGCTCTGCCATCGCTAACTGCTGTCTTCCCTGAAGCTGCTCTTTAAAATGTCATTTTTCATCCCCCTGGCATACTTTCTTTGCTCAGCTGCAGGGGTCTGACGTCTTCCCTTTCCCTAAGGGAGCTTCCTATTGAGTTGCCTTCCACGTCTGGCATTCATTCTGCATTAGAGCACTTCTCCGGCAACAGTGTGAAAAAGAGCATTGCTCCTGACACTCTTCTGTTTCTTCCTGGCAGTGTCTTGAACTGCCCTCCTGTTTTCTGAAGTTCTTAGATGCCTCTGGAGTTCACCTGTGCTTTGCTGGGACTGCAGTGTGACCTGCGGCCAGGAACTTTGTTTTCTCTTACAGATCTGTCTGTCTGCATAACTAGCAGACTTTTCTGTTCTTTGTGGTGTGAATATATTTGCCTGGTGAGAGGGGGATGTTAAATACAGAATTTCTGCAGAGACTTGCATGAAATCTGTTGTGTCCCTGTCCCCCTGCCTCTCCCTGCTTCCGTGTCACACCCCCCTCCCCCCCCACAGAAC